AACAAATATTTCATATGCTAGTCAGCCAACCTATTTACATGGATTTATTTGAGGTATCTGCAGGGAATTTTGTAGGACATTGGGTCCAATTGATTTTTATAAGGTAATTAATTTTTGCACAGGCTGAAATTCAATTTTAGCTAGAATACCTCTGAAATAAGAAGCTGCCACTTCCAAGGACAAGTATCTCAAATTTTCTGTTATAAAAACTAATAAGTTACTGGAACACATTGCCTCCCTCTCCATGTCTTGGTGCTACCCAAGGGCTTCATTTTCCCTCTATGTGGTGAGCAGAAAGTCTGGAAGCCATGTGCCATCCAAACCAATTCAAACAGAGGTGCCCCAAATCAAGGTCTGGAGATTCAGCATGGCTTTCAAATGTTATATCCACCACATAAAATGCTATGGCGCCAAACTGCTTCTCTGGATCCTCTCTATCGGAATATAACTCTCATTAAACACTTCCAAGTTATTTCTGATTTAGGGCAACTCTGTGAAGGGGTGACCCCCAAAATATCCTGTTGTTAAAAGCCCACTCAGTTTTTGGAAACCCAAGACTACAGTTGTCCTTCAGCTTTTAGGGGATGAATTTCAGGGGACAATTGAAAACAGTTGGAGAATCAGACTTCAGAAGTGTCGGCTATAATGCTTATCAGACATTACTTGGCTGGTAAAAAAAAGCCAGCGTAGGAGCAGAGAGAGTGTTTGGTCTGAAGGTGCTCCTGGTTGAAAGAATGTGTCAGAAGTACATATCAGGTGGTCAGGATGATCCTACTCAGATATCAAGGTAAAAGTAAAGGTTCCCCTTGAGAATTTTTGTCCAGTTGTGTTCGACTCTAGGGGGCGGTGCTCATCCCCATTTCCAAGCCATAGATCCAGCGTTTTGTCCGAAGACAATCTTTCCGTGGTCACATGGCCAGTGCAACTTAGACACGGAACGCTGTTACCTTCCCACCGAGGTGGTCCCTATTTATCTACTCACATTTGCATGCTTTCGAACCGCAAGTTTGGCAGAGATATCAAGGAGCACATCCCAAATGGAATCTGCACATAAATATCATAACTGATACTGAATAGCTTTCAGCTTGTTGAAGGCCACATTTACTACAATACAATGCATATATGAAGACAAAAGCTGTTTTACAAATTACATAGCATTGCATCTACAGTAGTACCTTGGTTTACAAAATTAATGCATTCTCCAGAAAGTTATGCAATGTGGAAGATTCGTAAACCGAAATGCGGATTGCCTTGGGAATTGGGGTGGCACTATAAATCTCCAGGCACAGTGTATCCTGGGGAAACTTTCTTCGCAAACCAAAAAAAGCAAAGAAGGTAAAACATAAATCGAGGGATTATTTTCAACGGATTTCCATTTGTAAAGCGAAAGTTACATAAACTGAGGCATTTGTAAACTGAGGTACTACTGTATCTACAGCCAAACCGAGTTATGGCACATCTCAGCCTTTTCCAGCACACTAGCATCTAGTACAGTGGTGCCTCGCTTGAAGATGTTAATTCGTTCCAGCGAAATCGCTGTAGAGCGAAAACATCATCAAATGAAATAAAAAACCCCATTGAAATGCATTAAAACACGGTTAATGTGTTCCAATGGGCTGAATACCTGCTCGTCCAGCGAAGATCCTCCATATGGCAGCCATTTTCGGTGCCTGTAAAGCAAGGAATCTGTCCTAGAAAACAGCGGGGCCATTTTGAAAGCCGGCGGCCATTTTGAAACCTGACGATCATAAAGCGAAAAATCGGTTCCCAAAACGGAACCGATCGACGTGAAGCAAAATTCGCCCATTTAAAACATCGTTTTGCGATCGCAAAAGCAATCGCAAAAACTTTGATGTGATACGGATTCATCGTAGAGTGGGTAATCGTCCAGCAGGGCATGACTGTACACTGCTTCTCAGTCTATGGTATGCATACCACCAATGGGAAACAAGATTTTCATAACATGGACATTTGTTTTCAATTGATTTCCAACAATTTTATTGTAATTTTTTTTACCCTTAAAAGGTTATCTTAAATTATAGATCTATTACAAACATACCTCTAAATATACAAGGGTCCTTTTTTTAAAGTGAGCTTTCCATTTCTCTCTTTTTTCCTTTTTTGGGGGGGTAGGGCTTAAGATACAGAGATTGAGAAAGACTTTTCTTGGTCTTGAGCATCAGAGTATTAAAGCTGCATTTATTAATATTGCAGGACTCCTATCTACTATTCCATTCTGAAAGAAGTCCATCTTGAGCTTTTGTGCAGTTGAAACATGGCTGAGATGTTTTCAGTGGATAATTTGTGCATGATTGATTTATATTCTTTTCACTATGAATTATCTGAGCCTATGGAACTGTGTTAATTATGTACAAACTGTTTGTGAATATAGAATTTTCTTGGATGCGGACCTGATACATATTATCTGAGAGTAGAAGCATTTGAGGGTTTATTATTATTATTATTATTATTATTATTATTATTATTATTATTATCATTAACATTATCATTATCATTATTATTATTATTGGCTAGAATTCCGTTATATATTTACAGTGGTGTCTCGCATAACGGGCGCCCCCGTTTCCTATGGGGAAAATCGCTTTGCGATGATCGGTAAGCTGTTTCGCTTACCGATTTTCGCATAGTGATGTTTTTTCCCCAGCTGATCAGCGGTTCCAAAATGGCCACCTGGTAAAACAGGGACAGATTCCTTGCTTACCGGGCAGCTAAAATGGCCACCGTATGGAGGATTTTCGCTTGAAAGGTAGGTTTTAAGCCCATAGGAATGCATTGAAGGGGTTTCAATGCATTCTTATGGGCTTTTTAATTTCACATAGCGACGATTTTTGCTGCATGGATTATCGTTGCTGTGCGGGGCACCACTGTATGTTGGCACAAAACCAACAGCATAAATTCCAGGGGCCAATTGCCTCCAGTGAAAAACTAGACTGTTTATTGTGTTGTGTACCAAATCATGCAGCCGCTGGGGTGACAAGCGAAACAAGCACCGGCTTCTTAACTAGCAGTAATTCAGTGCTGAAATTTATGTTGTTGGTGTTACACTGGTGAATGAAAGTATCAGTATTATGGCCTTTCTTATTCATAGATCTTTTTTCTTGGGCATGTTCCATTGGCATTTAGGACACTGGATGTCTTTGCTGTATTCCAGAATTACATCTAAAGGCCTGCTGAAATATTTGCAACGTATCCATGTGCATACTGCGTATCTTGTGTCGTGTACTTCCTTACTCCTTGCATTAATTTCTTTTTTAGTAGCCGTTTTTGAAAGGGGGACATGCTCGCTTGCTCTGAGAATTGTGCGTCTCTATTAATACAGGGCATTAATTTTATTGCTCTTTGATGTATTGAGTCACTAAAACTGCCCCAGTTGTTTTTGTAACTTCCCAGAGAGTGATACTACCTGCTGTGACAATCCATCTTTTTCTGAAAGAGATCAGAGTTCAGCAGTCTGGGCAAATGAATGCTTCACTGCACGGTTCTATCTTACTGTAAAATGTTGCAGATCGTAAAGATGTAATAAAACGCTGGCCGTATGACCAGCTGGGATGATGGGTTTGCCGGTGTTGCTTTGGATGTGTGAAACAATGGAACAAATCAGATTGTTTAATTATCTATTGAAACAGACCTAGAAAGTCTGGATTTGTGGCGTTGTACCTTGAGTGCATTTCTAAACGGTCTGGCTAATTCATTTTCTTCTCCCTTCTTTAGCCTTTCCGATGTGCACACTGCCATTATTCCTGCAATATATCTGGTTCTCTGAAAAGACACTATAACAGGAAACATCCCAATGAGGAATATGTAAATGCAGGCTCTGGAGAGCTGGCTGCTGAAGCCCTTCAACAACAAGGTAAGCTTATTTTAAAACATACAAGCCAATTCTTTCTATTAAGGGGCCAATATCCTTATTGCTTAGCTCCATTCATGGCTGCTGCTTCCCACTAATTAAAGAGTTTTCTTTTTTCTCTCTCTCTCTTCTTCTTTTCTTTAAATGTTGAGGTATACACTGGTGCCTCGCAAGACGATGATAATCCGTTCCACTGAAATCACTGTTTAGCGAAATCATCGTCTAGCGAAAAGCATTCCCCCATTGGAATGCATTGAAACCTGTTTAATGTGTTCCAATGGGGAAGAATCATCGTCTAGTGAAGATCGGCCATAGGAAAGCCGCTTTGCGAACCACCGATCAGCTGTTTAAATAGCTGTCTTGCAAAGCTTATATCCTGAAAACACCCGTTTTGCGAGTGCAGAGGGAGCTGTCAAAATCGTTGTCTAGCGAAAAACGGTTTGCAAAGCAGGGACCAAACATTGTCCAGCGAAATTCCGCCATAGGAATCACTGTTTTGCGAATTGCTATAGCGATCGCAAAAAGTCAATGTCTAGCGAAAAAGTGTCGTGGGGGGCACCACTGTACGCCGCTTGTGTGCAATGATGCAAAGCCGTATGCACTTTGACATTAAATAATAATAATAAAACAATGAAAAAAACTCTTTACTGCCAATCTAATTTTATCCTCAGGCCTATGCAATAGGATACTACCTGCATATGGTTAAATTTTGATGCAGAGAATATGTCGCGATTGGTTTAAGTGTTTAATGGCACAGAATTCCTTTTTGTTCATGGTTAATGGCTTTGGCACCACCTTCAGGAAAAGAAAAAAAAACTTGTAGTGAATGTTAGGTATGAATTGAAAATCCCTATGAATGAGAGAAAAGAGTAGCCAGCCCATTGTCCTTTTGTGGATCAGTCTGGGGAAAAAATCTATGCACATTTAAATTCTTTTTTATTATTTATCTTTCTTCAGGGGAATGATGCGAAAGGCAATCTTGAAACACACACACACAAACATATATATGATGTGTGCATGTTTAAAATTTGTTGATGCAACTTTGCTTTGGTGTGGCGTCTTCAGTCTTGAATTTAATTAGGAAATTATTTATTTATTTTTATTTGTACGGAACCCTTTGCAGAGAACAGCATCCCTTGGTTTAATAAAATATAACCGATGGAGTAAGGAAGCCTGACATTCAACTCATGAATGATTCACACGGATCTAAAACCATTGGGTAATGCCAACCAGAGTTGAACCCCTTGAATCAGCTGGAACTGAAAATTGAAACTTATGTAAATCTTTCAGTGAGTCAACTCTGGTTTAGACATGCAATCATCACAGCTCTAATTGGGGAATAAAATTCTGATCAATTAAAATTCTCAGCATGCTTTCCCTGATGCTTCTACAGGGCACACTCAATTTGCACTCTTTTCCTGCCTTTCTCATGTGGGTCCCACTAAAGTCAGTTCAATGCCATTATAAATAATAAGTTAAGCATTAATGGCCTGGAAAAAGCATATTTCAACTATGCTTGCTATATTCTATTCTAACAGTCACTGGAAGATGGAAATTGAGGATTTGTATTAGTATTAGTAGGGACGTGGTGGCTCTGTGGGCTAAACCACAGAAGCCTGTGCTGCAGGGTCAGAAGACCAGTATTCGTAAAATTGATTCCATGCGATGGAGTGAGCTCCCGTCACTTTGTAACAGCTCCTTGCCAACCTAGCAGTTCGAAAGCATGTAAATGCGAGTAGATAAATACCGTATTTTTCGCTCCATAAGACGCACCTTTCCATAAGACACACCAATTTTTTAGGAGAAGAAAACAGGAAAATATAATCTGTTTTCTTCGCTCCATAAGACGCACAGACTTTCCACCCCCCCTGTTTTGTGGGGTAAAAGTGCGTCTTATGGTGCGAAAAATACGGTAGGTACCATCTCAGTGGTAAGGTAAAACGGCGCTCCCTAGTCACGCTGGCCACGTGACCACGGAAACTGTCTTTGGACAAGCGCTGGCTCTACGGCTTGAAAAACAGGATGTCGGACACGACTGGACTAAAATGTCAAGGGGAACCTTTACTTTTACTTATTAGTATTAGTGGTACCCAGTAAGATGTAATGGACAGAGTAATGGATTAGGACTTAGGAATCCTCAGATCAATTTGTCAGCTGTGCCCTGAAAACTCACTGAGAGTGTGGGGCTGGTAAATCCAGTTGTTAAATATCTCATTTACCTTGAATGCCCTGTTCAAGTCACTATAAATTGGCACATAAGAACAACAACATTAGTATTAGTTCTATTTATTCCAGAGTAGGAGAAAGAGCTGAACAGACAAGAGCCTTGAGGGTTGCGTGCAGGGCCCTAATCCGACTAGAGTAGCTGACACTGAATTAATAGAATGTCCTCCATGGATGTGCTATGATCCAGTGTCTTACCTAAAGTGCTTTTCAATTTAAGAGGCATAGTTCACTTTGGGCCCTCCATAAAAGGTTTGGCAACTCCATGGACACAGAGAAAACCGCCGGAGTTGTGTGTGACACATTTTGGTGTTGTACCATTGGGATTCCTAACAGCCCAGCTTTTGAGAGGGGTTTAAAGATTCAAGACATAATAGTGAAATAACATTCCTGCAAGTGAAGAAGTGGTGGAGACCAAATTAGATTGCATTGTAGTTGAAAATGGCGAGCTTTTCAAAAGAGTTGACTTTCTTATTTTATTTCTGACAGTTTGCAAGTTTTAAACCCCCCCTCCTTTTTTTTCTTCTTCAGTGACAAAAGGCAGAACTCCTCTGCTCCTGAGGAGCATCTAGTGGGGATTTAAAATCCCCCCCCTTTTTTTTTGTTACACTAGAATAGATGCTAGAATTACACTGCAGCTCCGGATTATGAATAAAACATCATTTTCCCAAGCGTTACATTCTAAAAGCATTTTTAAATTCTTCTTCTTCTTCATTTCTTTATTTGCAAAAAATTCCAGTCTGACAGAAATCCTAACAGGCCAAATGCTCCCCTCAGTGTTGCAAGGATAGGGATGAAAGACAAAAACAGAGGGGAAAGGCTTTGTCCAAACATTAGCATAACTCTTGGAAATGAATGCACAGATGGAATTTTCTGGGACTTTAGGAAAAGCATGTATCAATTGTTTCATGAGTTTTTGAAGGGTTGCAGCTCTCTGTGGTGGAACATTCTTTACAAAAGTGTTCCACTTTCTGTAAATAGGACTAGGAAAGTGGGTTGTTGTTTGTTTTTTTAGTTGTGATGCTGATGTGTGACCTTCCAGATCAGCAGCCACAAATATCAGTGCATCTGAAGAAGAGTATTACAGTGGTGCCTCACACAACGATGTTAATTGGTTCCAAAAAAATCAACGTTGTGTGAAACATCGTTCTGTGAAACACCATTTCCCATAGGAATGAATTGAAAACCGGTTAATCCGTTCCAATTGGACCAGATTGCCGTCTTTAAGTGAAAAAACCCATAGGAAACATCGTTGAGTGAAACAATGTTTCCTCCATTGGAATGTATTGAAGCCGACTCAATACATTTCAATGGCTTTGCGAAGTCCTTTTTCGCTCCTGTAAAAGTGCTTTACAGTGTTTGGAATAGGTTTTAAATGCTTGCAATCGTTAGCCCACCTCCTTAACGCTATGCAAACTTAATTTGGTGTTGTTCTGAGTCGTCCTTAATTTTTGGTGATTTTTTGAATTTTCTCTCATTGGAATGCATTGGAC